TCTTAAATTGAATGTTCGTTGATGCTCTAAAAATACTATGCACAGAGAAAGGGCAGATGTGAAAATATTTTTTAATATTAACAGCTTGAATATAAGCTGTTTTCAGTGCTTTCTGACACCCCTTGCTTTCATTATGGTATTTCACAAATATTCATTGTGTTTGTTTAAAAATATTTCTTTGCCGAAATAATATAACGCTAATAATATTTGTTGAACACTTGTTAAGGGCTAATGATTGTTCTAAGCACTTGACATGAATTGGCTCATTTAAATTTCTTTGGAATTCTGTGAAACAAGTATTAATTACACATTAGGACTCGGATGCATAGAGAGTTTTGAACTTTTGCCCATAGGCTCACTGCTAGGAAAGGCAGAGCTGAGATTCGATCCCAGGCAATCTCATACCAGCAATTGCATGCTCAACCACTAAGCTGTATCTGGCTGCATCTGTATGTACCTTACATTGGGCTAGGTGCCTGGAAGGCTGTAAAAACTTAGACCCAATTGGTACCTGTACTGGACTGAATAGTGTCCCCCAAAGTTCATGTCCACTTCGGATTTTAGAATCTGAGTTTATTTGGAAATAGAGTCTTTGCAGATATAATTAGTTAAGATGAGGCCATCCTGGATTAAGGTGGACCCTATAAATTGTCCCTGATTTGCAAACAGACAGATACACAGAAGGAACGTGGCCACGTGAAGATAGAGGCAGACATCGGAGGGATGCAGCTATAAGCCAAGGAACGCCAAGGACAGTCAGCAACCTCCAGAAGCGAGGAAAAGGCAAGGAAGTGCTCTTCTCTCGAGCCTTCCGAGGATACGTGGTCCAGAACTGTGGGTTACTATGGGAGCAAGAGGATCCCAAACCTCAGATTACAAACAAATTAAGGCTGATTTTACATCATTCCTCTCTAGCCTCACTGAGGAGCTGATAGGCTCTGAATGATGTCATTATTAATTAAAGGTGGGTAGGAAGAGAAATGAGAACGAATATTTACTCAGTACCCATTAAGTGGCAGGTACCCAATCAATTTAGTCCTCACCTACAATTGTATGAGGCAGATATTACTATGTTGTATATTACAGTAGCTTCAGTCCTGGGGCGCTAAAGCATTGCCCAAGGACACCTTGCAAATTTGAGACAGAGGGAGAATTTGAACTCACATCTAACCCCACAAACTATACCTTTGCAACCATGCCACCTGCCTTCTGGAAGAATGGTCAAATAATCACGTGGAGATAGAATAATTTCAAGGAGAGAAATTTCCCTTTCTAACTTTCTCTACTTGGGATACATGGGAAAAAGCCCATGGGAGTAATTAGAAAAGAACCAGGATAGAATTCAGGGGATTTGGGTTCTGAGCCCAACATTACATTAACATGCTGTGTGATATGGGGCATGTCATGTTACTGGGTCTTGGTCCTGTTAAGGTCTGATGTTAATAGTCAGATATTAGGTAAGCATTAACTTTGAATGGTAATCGTTAGAAAAATTATCTGAAACTTAGAAAGAGCCCCCCCCCAAAAAAAAGCTTATAGGTACTCTTTCAGTGCAGTATTGGGCTTGACACTGTACTGTCTGGGCTATTTTATCACTCTTTAGAGGAAGAGGAGAACTTGTAGAATTTTGTCCAGTGGAAATGCAAATACTTTCTGTCCAAAGAAGAGATCACCCCAAAGGGTACTGTTTATGGCTTTGGTGGACATCAGCCAGGTTTGTATCTAACCCAGGAAACTCATCCTGACATTGCTTATAAACACCTAACTTCTCAAATGCTTTTTGGATTGGTTTTGGCATTTTACTGTTTTTTTTAATTAATTCACAAGTTAAATAAAAATTTTGACATATGTTAATTTTATATTTGCATGAGAACCATGATTTTATCTTTTTGGAAATTATGCTTTAAGAGTATTTAGATTAGAAAGCCTCACATCTACAACCATTCTGGAGTCTCTGGGTCCTCGGAGAAGAAGGTCAGTGTGATTACAGGCTTCACAAAGATCCCCAAGCTTTGCTCACCTCTTTGGGGGTACATTCACCTATTTATAAATCATTTGTGCCACAGTGATAATGCACTTTTAAAGGCTGGCTCTCAGTCTAAACACATCTAATACACACTACCCTCAGCTGGAAGGAAACTATATTCATTGTTATTTTTAAAGTGCATTTGTACCAAAGTAGGAAGATTGCATCTTTTCTTATGTGGGGGCACGTGTGACAATGTGAAGGTCCATCCTTCAAAAATTGAAAGAATCCTTGTAAATTGAATTCCATTGGTCTTTTTTTCAACCCCAGCATCTTTTAGGCCTTTTAATGTTGTATGGACAATTTTGAGCTATTTCTCTCAGGGATTTTCAACAGAAGTAGTCTATTATATGCCTTCCTTTACCAATTTATTTTATCATCCATGAGGGTGGGTCAGAGGTACCATGACTTTTTAATTTCGAAGCTTTTATTATTTCCCTAGACAGTGTGGTTATAGTGAACGGTTATAGGAAACTCTGCTGAATGTTCAACTTCTAACATGGTAGGTGACTCTGGGTGACACATTTAACTCATAGAGCTTCTGTTTATCTATCGATAGATAAGGATGGATATTGACTCTTTGTAACCTGGCCACCTTGGACAATCATTAGAATTGAATGCTGTTATAGCCATCATAACATGTTGATATGTGGAAAGCACTATGTGAATATGAGGTTGCAGTGTTATCTCTAGCTCTTCTAGTTTGTGATCTATGAAGAGCATGTATTGCTTGAATCATTCAAATTATACTAAAAAAATTTTTAAAACCACCAAATTGGTGAAAATAAAAAAAAGTTTAAAGCAGAGGTTGAAAGTTGAAAAAGGAATATCTGGCAGACATATGATTTGTATTCATCCCACAAATTGGCTTCAGGCTTAAACAAAGAAATGCATAAATTAAAAAAAATTTCCAAATAGTTGATTTTTTTTATTTTCCGAAATTGTGAATCATATGGTATGGAATTTTGTGCTGTGTTTTAGTTAGAAATTTATTACTTGATATTAATGGAGTAAGCAAAATGTAAAATGACATTCATTTAATCTTTATTGGAAGTTTGACTCAGATTTTGGCAGCTCTGTCCAGCATCATAGATGAGGAGCTTAATGCTAACACTGTTTGGAAGGATTTTTAAAAACCTACAACCAGTCTGGTTTGTAGCATCAGTTTTGAGCCAAGGTGTTTGAAAATACCATAAAAAGTCTTAAGCCTTAAGTCATCTTGATGCATTCTTAAAGCCAAGTGGTGGGAATTGAAAACTGTTTCCAAGACAAATCCCCCAGTAACCCATTATCTGATAAATGGTGGCAGTGGTTGGTTACCTCACATTATTGCTTGGGTGGGGAAAACTTCATAACTTTGTCAACAGGCACAGCTTATCCTCCTTCACCAACGTTTTCCTGGTGATAATAATAATAGTCACTGGGCACTTGAGCCCATGAAAACATAACCACAACGAGCTTTCTTCCAGTAGCTTCCAATCTCATGAAAACAGGAAGTAAGTTCTCTTCCTCAGAGCCATGATTTTACTCTTGAACTGTTTTCCTTCAAATACTGTTATGAAAGAAAATGTCTTAAATAAAATCTCCAGTAACATTATAGGGGGATTACCAATTTCATCAGAACATGACACTCAAATTCCTTTCCCTGAGATTTTTATCTTATTTATACAGCCCAAATCAGTACATTCAAGAGTTCTTTCCATCGAATGTAGACTAGAATTAGAGAAAAGCCAAGAATCCATCTTGCCATCCATGATGCCTTTACCTACTTAAGTGGCTGGAAGATATCTTTAGAGGTGAATCTTTTTAAAATTTTCTAATGTGGGGACCATGCCTCCCAGAAAATTACATGGTATACACATTGAGTAGACATGGCTGTTTAGCTGAGGATTTTCCCCCAAGATGCCTCCCAATTCAGCCATATGCAGCATCAAAAGCTAGTGACCTAGCTCTTCCTAGGTCACTTACGGGGTCAGGCCCATCTCTGGGAGGCATTTTAGTCTCGATGTTACTGTTTTGTAGTGGGAGGAAGAGAATCGAGATCCGTCAAAGACTTGACTTACTTATTGAGAAAGGAATGCACAATAAGACAGAAATATTGTTTCAGAAAGGATGCAAAAAGCCTGGCATTGATCTTACCAAGGTTAGACACAGTGAAGCTTTCGACCCAGTGGATAACCAATACAACTCATAATAACAATAATTTTGTTATTATCTGTTAGTTATTGAGAATTACTATGCGTCAGACTCTGAGCTAATGGCTTTACTTGCATTTTTCTCAGTTTACCCTCTTCAAACGCTATGAAACAGGAATTACTCAGAAAAGTCAGGTAACTTAGCCAAGATCATGCTGTTGATCGGTGGCCAGGCTAGTCTCCAAAAATCATGCTTTTAGCCATTTTGCAATATTCCTCCCTATGGAAATGACTCAATATGTGAATAGGTTGAAATGGCCATAAATATTGACTTATGAATTCACATCTTCCTGAAAATGTTATGATGGATATCTTTGGTTAAGGAAAATCTAGGTCAAGATGAGTTATCTCTACTTCACTGGGGTTCTCAGAAAGTTTTTTCATCTTGGAACTTCATTCCTGACAAAATCAAGAGGGGTAGGTGGACAGGTTGGTCTTTTGTATCTCTTCTCACTTTGAGATTTGATGATTCCTCAGTGTTCTCGGAACATTTCCAGATTTCATATGAAGTATCCAGTATTAGATTCTGCTTACAGTGACAACTAATGCTTCCACGTCTCCATGTCCCTATTTCTGCGATGAAAATAATGTATCTGTTTCTTTCTTCATGGGGACACTCTAAGCTACTATTATATTATAAGAATAATATAATAGCTATATAAGTGCTTCAAGCTTATGAAGAAGACCAGAAACAAAAATCCAAGTTACTGTTGTCATCTAAATTATTCATATTGTAGTGCAAAAAGAGAACGACTCTTGGAGAAGTTTTGTGGCACACTTAGCTTTATTGAAATTGAACAAGTACTTTTTTTTTAATAATCCCTTTTACAGCACATGTAAAATTTAATCTTTTCATTATGTTTTTACAGGTTGTCTTTTATCTGAGTAAGCAAAAATACGTCTTTTATTTTATTTTTTTCTTACTTAAAACATGTAGCCAGGATTTAAACCACGTAGCTCTGGTACCAAAAAGGCAACGGGTTATGAAAATCACAGTACAATTTTAAAATTCTTTAAGTTCATTAAGGATATTTAAAACGATATTCACTTGGATTGACAGTAGAAATTATGGGTCGGTTGACATTAGGACTAGTAGTTACACCTACGATGAGAGCAGAAATGGGAAGTTCAGGCTAATATGAGCTACACCATTCAGGACACACCATCTCCATAAATACTGTGGCCAAGAGGCTGCAATGGCTAAGTGACACTTGAGCACTTCACACGTAAATATAGCCAAAGCGAACAAAATAGTGCGCTAACTTGGATCTAAAATAAAATGGGCGTTCATTTTTAAGAGGGTATACTGTCAAATCAATTACACGAGACACAATTTAAACCCCAAAATTACATCTAGGAAAGAAAAATAATAAAATGCACACCCACACAGACAGGAAAGTAGAAATCTGTTCTTTGTGATTGGTGTTAATTTTTTTATTGTTGTTGTTTTCAATCAGTAGAAATAACTTAAGACCCACAAAAGGATTTCTCTGGTGAAACACTAATTACAGACATTGTAAAGTACTTAGCTCAGGAGGCTTGTTTTAAAAATGAGGCAGCATTTTCCTGAAAAAAGTTTGGTCCTCAGCTCACTGTAGGCTAGTCACTATGGTCAGATGGTAAGCATTTTCCGTGTGTGTGTGTGTGTGTGTGTGTGTGTGTGTGTGTGAAGCTAACTTTTCAGTACCAGAATTAGTCAAAACCAAACCAAAAGACAAATTGCACTCGAGAACTTGACCTTGCATATCATGTCTAATTGATGCATCATCTGAAAGAACAGTGCTAAAGACTATGAAGGGAATTATGCTCACGTGATTCTGCAACACCTTAATTTTGTGCAAACATTTTCCTTCATTGCCAGATAACTTACAGGTGCCAGGAAACCTGCCCCATGGTCCTCCCTCCCCCATCCCCCAGTCTTCTCCTCTGTCAAAGTGATATAAAGACAATTTCACTGTGTATATACAAGCACAACACTTTAGGCAAGACGGTCCCAGGGTCTGAAGGGCACATCTATTTCTTGTGGACATCTTCATGCCGAATGATCTTGTATGTGATCCAGTAGAAGATGTTGAAAATGAGGAAGGCCAATGGGAAGGCAGCTCGAGATATCGTGTCAATCCTTTTTGCCCGGTCCACAAACTTCTTCTTGATGGCATCTGCATCTTGTGGGGGTTGTGGGAGCGGGTTGGCAGGTGTGGCCTTGACCGCTGTCCCATCCTTCACTTGGAGGCAGTGACCCATCCCATAACCACTGAAATTAAAACGACTTTCACGAGTAACATCTTCTTCCTGGGAAGATAAAGACAGAGGAAGCACAGATTGATTGTCAGTCAAATCAGGCAGAAGATGCTTAAAATTCTTCAGAAGTAAAAGGATAAATCACAGTTAATTCATAGCATGGGAGGCTTTTGGACTGGATAGTTTTCTTTCAAGTTTAACTCTGTTATCCGTAGAACAGATACAGTTCATTAACTTTTCAGGGTGAGAAATTAGGGGTAAGAAGACTAATGACTCTGTGGTCATTTTAATTGATTAACAAACAGAAACACCTACATTATATTTAGCACTGACTTTCCCAAAATCATGTTTATTAATCCATAGCTTTGAATAGACTGTTTTAAAGCCAAGTCTCCAAATCCCAAAACTATACTCTAAATCTCTCAAGGACCATTTGTTCTCTCTCTCCCTTCCTTCCTTCCTTCTTTCAAAAAGCATTTACTGAACCCCTGCTGTGTACCTGGCCCTGAGCTAGGAATTTCTAGTACTATGGCCCATTCGCCACCCAGTTCCATCTAATCTTGACTTTAATATTAGATATAAGATTAACCCTTTAAATGTATACATTTCCCCTCCAACCCTCTAATTCATTTCAGTTATATGGCAGAGATTAAATATTCATTATTTGCTGTTGAATATTTCTACCATGGCTAATTTTCCTACTGTCGATTTTTATCTTTGATTCTTTGGCTGGTTATTTATCTCTACCATATTTTAACATTTTAGCTCATGTCAGTGGCATTTTGTGTTGATTATTCTTCCATGAATTAGATAAAAGACTGAAAAATTGTATTTATTCCTGGGGATAAAGAGTAAATAGCCTTAGTAGAGACAAATGTATGGAATCTGGGTGTGAGGTTGGGTCAAAATGGTGGGGTTGAAAAGGCAGGATTGAAATGACCTACTTAATAAAAATTTAGTTGTAAATAGCTGTCAATTGAATCTCTTTCTGCCACTACATTACTGCCTTCCACAACACTATGCAAACCCTTTGAATAAGCAGAGGCACTGCATTCTTTACCTTGCCAGATAATAATAATGGTTATATTTCCCCAAAGACATGAAAAATTGGTATTAATATTTTATTTCATCAATGTTTGTTGCACATCAATAATGCTTTGGTCACATATAAAATATATACTGAAAGAGGGACTATTAATATAGTATGAATGACAGCCCAACTGCAATCCAAATGGAACAGCAAGGACAAATTGTATCTTGTGTATTGAAATGAGTTTTGTAAGGTCAACAGGAGATCCCTGGATAGGTAAGGAAAGTAAGAAGAGTATTTCAGTTAATTATACTTTATCCTGTACAAAATGGGTAGTGAGAGAGCATGTGGTTTAAAGTGCCAGGACTTCGGGCCGGCCGAGTGGCGTGTTGGTTAAGAACTGGCTTGGGATGCCAGAGAGTGGCGCATTGGTTAAGAACTGGCTTGGGATGCCAGAGGGCCCCGGTTCGGATCCCACATATGAGGGCCAGTGACACTGCCCTCTACAGCTAAGATGCTGAACAACAGCTCAACCTGGAGCTGGGCTGCCGTGAGTTGCTGGCGATGGCATAGGCTGCAGCCCCTGCTGTAGTGGGTTGGCATAAGCTGCCGTGTGTAGCCGGCAGCCAGCGTGAGCAGCCAGCAGCTGCCGTGAGTGGCCATCCAGAAGTCGGCGACTGATCTGCCTCACCCGGGAAGAGCGCAATGATGGTGCCAACTTGGGCCAGTGAAGCAACGTCCTCCACAACTAGACTGAAGAACAAAACAACAGCAACTTGTCTGTTCCCCTTCCCCCGATTCCCCAGCGCTTTTCCCCTCCCCCAATTCCCCAATAAAATGTTTAAAAAAAAAAGTGCCAGGACTTCAGAATGGTTAGATTGGATTATAGTATATGTGCTCAGATGGTGACTACAGAACCTGGAAGGAAAGACAGCTTGCTTCTATGTGGCTCACTTAGCTAGATTAGTACCAAGGTGCCACTTCCCACAGTGGGAGATACCATGTAGCCTGAACACAAAGAGGACAGTCCAACAGAGTGCTTGAGGCCTTTGGCTTATCGGCACTGCCCCCTGTAATATAGTACCTCTGATGAGGCCAGCCCTAAACTTGGCTAAACGGTGCATTGCAACCAGACAATGACTTGGGGGGATTTGAGCTGGAGAGAGAGCCAATGTGAATCATTGCCAAACACTCCATATCACCCTTCACTCTGTAGATCAGATCTCTAGGAAAATCAGGCTAGAAAACAGAAGGCTTATTTACCTGATGCATCAGTTCTTATCAATGAATGCATCTAGTACTGCCAATAACAGACATTAATCTTAACCTTCAATCAGCCCATTTATGTCAGGAAAATCAGGCCAAAGCTCTCATAATAAAGTAACTGTAAAACTACTTTATAAAACCATCTGCCCAGTACTTTTATTTATATGGGGCTGACCTATACAAGTTGGTTCAAGATACTCTCATTTCTTAACAAACTTTATTGAGGGATTTTTTAAATCAACAATTAATTGTTGAGTGTTGAATCTACGGCAAGCATTACACAAGGTGCTGGGAGAGAGTTGAAGTTGGCCAAGAGCTCTCCCTGCATGGAGCTTTCAGAGACCAGTGGAAGAAGCAACCTAAAGGCATGATCATAAAAGGGAGGTTGTAAAGAAAACTAGCCTGACGTTAGAGTTCTTCCATGTACTCAGCTATATAAGCTCAGTAATGAAGATGTAAATTAGACTCAGATTCAGGTATCAAATCGGTTTTCTTTGCCTTAAAATCTGAATGAGATAAGTTTATGGTTGTGAAAGTTTCCATTTAGTGTAGTATTTCAAAATATGGAATAAACAGGTATATTAATCATTGCAGTGTCACTGGAACACATACTCAGTACTTAGCAATAAAGGAAGCACAGAGGTCGTTAGGGGGAGGGCACATGCATATCACATGGGTTATAGGCCTTCTTGGACACCCTGTTACTAATCGATAGTTAGATCTCAACCAGTGTGTGAGAGAAGTAGAAACTGTGCCAGTTGGTTTAGTAAAGAGAGCCAGAGTAGGAAATTGGGTATTTGGGCTCTTGGCCTGGCTCCAAGGGTTATAAGCTTCATTGATCTTAAGTAAGATACTTATTCTTTTGAGACCTCAGGGATCTCATGCCCAAAATGTTGAGGCTGGACCAGAGCTGTGTGTCACAGCTTTGGCTGCTTGTGAACTTTTATGAATATGTATGCTTGCCTCCCCTCTCAGCCTCTTCCAGATGAACTGAATGAAAATATCTGGGAATGGGAACTGAGAATCTGTAGTTTTAAAAATCCAGTGACTCTAATGCAAAAGGTTGGAAACGAGTGGCCTACATGAGCTTTAATGCCCAACTCTAAAATGCTGAGCCTATTCTATATTACTGAGTCTAAAATCACTTTTTAAATGGAAACAATTCCTCGAAAAACATTTCCCTTCATCTGCCTAAATTTACCGGCTGTTTATCCTTTCCATAGCTACAGAATCTTGAAAATTGCTGTTCTCACCTCTATAAACATTTAGAAACTCATGATTAAGCATATAGTTTACTGCCTGAGTGAGATAAGATTATTTAAAAATTCCTGGGCCCTTGAAGAAATAGAAAGGGTAGTTAGCTGGTGACCTGTTTTTAGCACATAAAATAAAAGGAAACCCAAATGCACATGTCCATGTTTCTTTCCCTATTGACTCATTAATTTAATTTCTGTGGTCTTTCTTCACGTACTATGAGTGGGCAGCTGCAGAGATCAACTCATTCACTTAACTACCAGAGCAAGAATAGAATGATGCCAGGTTAGGTTATCATTATGTTGTATATTTCCATGCAAACTGTGGGTGTTTAATAAGTGTTTGTTGAATAATGAACAAAAGGGAATTTAAAGAGGTGTTTCTCTATAGTCGAAAATGGTTTCCTCATTCATTCAACGTCATTACAAATTATGTTTCTTAGCATAGTTGCAGCTAATTAAATCAATTCTTGAAAACTCTCCACAAAAATAAATCTGTCGTAGGTACAAATTATCCATTTAATGTTTTATATACAGGATATATGAATGCTAGTTTAAGGTCTTCTTATTTACCATTATGACTCATTCAATGCCTTAAATATAGAACCTTAAATTATCCCCATCAAAGGGTATGGTTTTGATTCAGAAAACATAATTGCAACCAATTTGAATTTTTGTGTTATAATGAAGGACTAATTGCCTTTATAGCAAGTTCAGAATAAAATGTTATGGTAATATGGCAAGATTTCTATAGGAGGGCAAAATGGAGATAAGCCAGAGTCATGGATAAACTGAAGCTAAAATAAAGAACAACCTGTAGGCACAGGGAGCGTCCGTTAAATCTTCTCATAAGAATAGAACTTTACGCATATAGTATCCATTTCTTCTAATTAGCCAGGAAACCCGTTAGTTCATTATTGCTGCTGACCGGCCATCTTCAGTAACTTTAAGCAGAAAACACTTCTGGCTCACTCTGTCTTGTTATTCACTGATTAAATTCCCCCAGGAAATGAATCATCCAGTCAACATTTCAATACATACAATTTCTATATTCCACTTTGCTAAAACCTTAAATCTTGTCTGCTGTATGAAGCACTGCCATGGCACTATGCAATTCGTTTGAGACTTATTTCTTTTATGCAATTTTACTTATTGTAAAATTTACGCATTCCTGTGTTTGGAATAACTCTTGTCTAGATGTGAAATTGAGCCTAAGGCATCACCAGCATTGCATTGTAGTGAATTGTTTGTTACAAGAACATGATTTCCATATAATTTAAAATTTTGGCACTTATAAAATGAAAGATTTTAGCAGAGCCCATAGTTTCAATTATTCTTTTATGCCCTAGAGAGAAGGATATAAAAGGACTCCTGAAAACTGGGGTAAGGGAAAATTCTTTCCATCACATTTCTCACCCAGATTCTGATTGGATTGTGTCTCCCTTCTGTTGGAATAAGAAATTTCTCAGTTGGAACAGAGGTTGTAGTGAGCCTCAATCAAT